TCTTCCAGAAATGACTGATGAACTTAGTATCACGATCTGAAATGATGGATCGAGGAACACCATATAAACGCACAATCTCCTTAAAATAGAGATGGGCAATCCGGTCAGCATCCATAGTCTTTCTACAAGCTACAAAATGAGCCATCTTGGAAAACCTATCAACCACAACAAAGATAGAATCTGAGGCCCTTTGGGTGCGGGGTAAGCCTAGTACAAAATCCATGCTGACATCGAACCAAGGAGCTTCAGGAACAGGTAAGGGAGTGTACAAGCCTGCATTGGTGATAACTCCCTTAGATCGCTGGCACACATAACAACGGTCCAAATAATGGGCCACATCACTAGTCAACTTGGGCCAATAAAAGTCAGAAGAGATAAGGGCCAAGGTCTTATCTCGGCCAAAGTGTCCCTCATTATGGAGTTCACTTATAATTTGATGCCTCAATGAACAATCTGGAATGCACAACTGTAATCCACGAAACAGATACCCATTATGCAAAACAAAATCATGACGGTGACCCTCAGTTACCTCTTGAAATATCATTCTAAAGGAAGGATCATCTGCATACATATCTGTGAACGTCTCAAAGCCTGCAACTTTAGTACTCATGGTGGTGAGAAGTAAGGTACGACGGCTCAGGGCATCTGCGACGTGGTTCAAACTCCCTGCTTGGTGCCTCAGCGTAAAAGTGAATTCTTGCAAGTATGCCACCCACTTGGCATGACGTCTACTCAGCTTGTGTTGTCCATTAATGTACTTCAAGGCCTCATGATCGGTAAACAGAATAAACTCCTTCTGTACTAGGTAGTGACGCCAATGCTTCAGGGACTGAACTATGGCATAGAACTCCAGATCATAAGTGGAATAATTTTTCTTTGATCCCGATAGTTTTTCACTGAAAAATGCAACCGGACGACCTGCCTGACTCAGAACACCACCAATGGCAGATGCATCACAATTTACCTCGAACACTTTGTCAAAATCTGGAAGTGCCAAAACTGGAGCCTCGGTCATCTTCTTCTTGACCAGTTGAAAACTGGCCTCTGCCTCCTCAGACCACTGGAAATCATGCCCCTTGAGGTACTCTGTGATAGGGGCGATCAGAGTACTGAAATTTCTAATGAATCAGCGGTAAAAAGACGCCAAGCCATGGAAACTTCGGATGTCATGTAAGGTCTTTGGTCTGGGCCACTCCAAGACTGCATCTACCTTTGACTGATATGCATGAACACCATCAGTAGACACAACAAAACCAAGAAAAGTCACAGAAGTAGTGAAGAAAGAACACTTCTTTTGATTGACAAACAAGCACTCTGTTTTCAGCATCTCAAAAACAGCACGGAGGTGATCGAAGTGTGAAGTCCATGTCGGACTATAAACGAGGATATCATCGAAGTAAACTACAATGAATTTCCCCATAAAAGGACGCAAGACCTGATGCATAAATCTCATGAACGTACTGGGCGCATTAGATAGCCCGAAAGGCATGACCATCCACTCATACAACCCTTGTAGCATTTTAAACGCCGTCTTCCACTCATCTCCAGGTCTTATTCTGATTTGGTGGTAACCACTCTTAAGGTCAATTTTTGAGAAGACCTTAGAACCAGATAGTTGATCCAACATATCATCTAGACGGGGAATTGGAAACCGGTACTTAACTGTAATTCTGTTGATCGCTCGGCTGTCAACACACATACGCCAAGAACCATCTTTCTTTGGCACTAGCATAGCAGGGACTGCACATGGGCTCATACTCTCTCGGATATAGCCCCTCTACAACAACTCTTCTACCTGTCGCTGCAACCCTTCAGCCTCTTTGGGACTGAGGCGATATGCTGGTCGATTTGGCAAACTTGACCCAGGAACAAGATCAATTTGATGCTGAATATCCCTCATAGGTGGTAGCCCAGGAGGAAGATCCTCTGGCATCAAGTTAGAGAATTCTGCTAGTAGCCGCTACACTTCTACTGGTAAATATGCATCCACGTCTACTGCATTGTTCTCGCAAGGTAGTAAGGCATAGACCACGTCGCCATGCTCAATCTCATCTAAAAACCTGGACATAGAAAGCAGAATAGTATTATGGGTTATTGGGGTAGGAGTGAGTCATTCCCGCCGGGGTGCCAACACAATCTTTTTTCCCTTGATGCTAAGGGAATATGTATTCTTCCGTCCATCATGAATGACAATGCGATCATACTGCCAGGGTCGACCCAACAATATATGGCACGCATCCATAGACACAACATCACACCAGGCATTATCAAAATATTTTCTACCAATTGAAAAAGACACGAGGCATCGCCTATCAATTTTTACCTCACTGCCTTTATTTAGCCATGACAGCTTGTATGGCTTAGGATGACGGTCCGTCTTCAACTGCAATTTCTGGACAACCTCCTCGGACACTACATTCTCACAACTGCCGCTGTCAATGATCATTTTGCAGACTTTATCTGCAATTGTGCAGGTCGTGTGGAAAATATTGGTTCTCAACCAATCGTCCCCTGAATCGCCCTTGGGAGTAAGTAGACTCTTGCGAATGACCAGAGTCTCATGACCATCTCCATACATCACATCATCAGTCTCATCATCGTCATACACAGGTTCGCCAATCTCCTCAGTCTCGTCTTTCGCGTTTTCCTAAATCAACAAATTTTTACCCTTTTGACTAGCAGGCTTCCTGCAATCAGTCGCCCTATGCCCTTGTTCACCACAACGAAAACATCTAATAATAGGGTTAGAATTACCCTGCGGTGGCTATTGAGCAGAACGAGAATCTTGAGGACGAACTGGTCGACTTTTGTGATTGTTCCTGATCACTGGTCTCCTGTTTTGCTGTTTTTCAACAGCAAGTGCACGCTGGTAAGCTTACGAAACACTCCACACTGAATGAAGGCTGAGGGCATCTTGTAAGGGTTGGCGTAAACCCCCCAAATATCGCGCCACCATTTGCTCCTCCGTCTCAGATAAATTGTTCCGGGCGACCAATTGGTAAAACTCCTCCGTGTAATCATCGACTGATCGTGCGCCCTGCCTCAACGCATGAAGTCGCTGAAACAATGTTTGCGTGTAGCCGAAGGGAAGGAAGTGACCCTTCATCTTCTTCTTCATCTTCTCTCAATCAATGATCTTGGCCTTGCCCTGTCTTTCTCGTGAATGTCGCAACTGTTCCCACCACGCAGATGCTCTGCCCTTGAGTTTGATGGCGATCAGTTTCACTTTCACACGATCAGGGACTTCCTTATATTCAAAACTACGCTCTACTTCATTAATCCAATCCACGAATCCCTCGGCCTGTAACGTACCAGAAAACTCAGGGAGATCGACCTGAAAACTGAGGTCTCCATGACGCTCTTCCCGACCACGGTGTTCCCGGAATAGAGCACGATTGTTATATGGGTTTTTGAAAGCGGAATTGGTATCGTGATCAGAGGCCTCACGATCCTCGAAATCCTGCGCCGCCAGGCGCTGGGTTAATTCTGTGACTTACTTCTGTAAATCCGTAATCATCACATCCTGAACGTTGCGATCACGGCGTTGGGCTTCCTCATTCGGAACCTGCTCACGACGACCACGACCTCCAGCCATTGAAACTGGTGAAATTTCCCAGGAAGATGTTGAAGCTCTGATACCAACTGACGCCAGACAGAATAGCGATTATCCTACAAGCGCTCCAACAGATGATTCACAAGAGAAAATTCGCCCAAAAAAATCCAGAGAAAAAAAGTCTCTAGGGTTTAATAAAATATTATCAAATCAAACAATGCCAAAATCAGTCCACAAGCCGGACTGTTATAGCTAAAAATCGTCTTTATTCGAATTTTGCCAAAAATAGCAAAATCCCGAAAATCACTCTAAATTGAAATTCGAAATAAAATAAGCAATCTCCAAAAAAATCCGGCCTAAATCGGATTTAAATTGACTTCCTAATTGACAATCGAAATATTACCATAAATAGTAAAAAATATCTAATTCTAGTGATTTGGAGGGGAAAACGGCAGAATTTGAGGTTGAAAAAAGGCCACATGGAGCAACTCCATATGGAGAGCGTGCGCGTCGAAAAGAGCTTTCCGGATTGGGGTCTTATGTGCGATTCTGACACCTGTAGCCAAAGTTATGGCCAAAAGACTGAAACATACTCAAAACGACCCCAATGAGGAACATGTCACAATCAATTCCCGCATTTGCGCTGATCTGCCAATTCATGGTATCTCAGCGCCATCAAGGTGCAATCTGACAGCTCAGCATCATCTGTCTCGGATCCCCCTGCATCAACCTGTCAACTTTGACTCGATAATTCTATATTGTCATCTAAACAATATAATAAATACCAATTTAAAATATTTAATAAAACACAAAATTTTACTAAATATAAATTTTAAAAATTACCTTACAACGAGATGAAACTTAATCAGAGCTGTTGTAATTGACATCAAAAATGAAAATCGGCACCATGCCTAAGATTGTAGTAAGACTATATAATCCGCTATATCTACCTTTTGACCCTTGTCATGATTGTATCCTTGCAAAGTTCTTGATATAAAAACACCAAAATCACTGAACCTAACTATATTTACGAAGCTCAATCAAATTATCCAATATCGAAAGATATTGTCTGTGTACCAAATTATTGAATTTATTCTATAATAATATCATTCCAATCAATTGGAGAAGATATGATCGGACTACAAATCTGTCATCATCCTTGATAGAGTGTTCATCCATTTTGAATTCACTCTCCAACCAAGTCATCCGTATTCGCAACCCTTCTACAACATCTGGTGATGGCCTCTTTCCTATACTTGCTCGTAAATCGTATCTAGATCGTAATTGTTGTGTCTTACTAATGTCGCACCATTTATCAGAATACCTAGTTAGTAAGCCACATCTTCCAAAGTAATTATCACTTCACAACTCAGAAAATGAAATGTATGAGTTTCGGGCCTCCAATGTTCAATCAGAGTCGAAATCAGTGCAAGATTCACCTTAAAACCACGAAGAAATGTGGTAGGATGCAACCCAGATTGTTGTAGATATATAATAGTCCGCTCATGTGTATCATCAGTTTTCATTCCTCACAAGCGAATGCCCCATTGTTCTGCCTACAATATAAATTTCAAACAATTAATTAAATTTTCAAAATAACAAAATTAATATTATAATTTGAACTTTTAAAAATATAAGAAAAAATTTTACACAGTGAGTTCAAGCGAGAAAATATGGACATCATCAAGACGTATCATTTATTCTCGAATAGACATTTTAAGAGAAATTCTTCAAAAAAACAAATATTTTTATTCTTAACAAATCACAATACAAACCTTAAATCAACGACTATAAATGGTTAGTATATTCTTAAATCTCATAAAACTCATCACGTTGACATGACGAGTTTTAAAGCGATTGTTACTTCTGCATGTTGCTTAATGGCTATAAACGGCTAGTGAATTTTTAAATCAAATAGAGCTCATCATGCCTACGTGATGAGTTCCAGTTTTTTAAAAAAATTATAATTAAAAAATAATATTTAAAATGATAAACAATATTATTTTAATGGAATCTGTACATGAACATGATAAGTTTCAAGAAATATATTAAAATATTAGACCCCACGGGATCCACAGACCTGAGTCCATTAAATATAATTTTTGGGCAAACTCATCAAGTCGATTACAGATTTTTTTTAACACCCTAACTTTGATGATCTTAGTAATGTTCGACTTTCATGATTAATTTCTTCTTACTTTTATAAATGATTTTTATAATTTTAATATATTTTTATTTTAATAAAACTAACCATAATCAAAAAGAAAATAAAGTTATTGTCGTGCATTTTATAGGAGATGAAATTATATTGCATGCCATACATGAAGAATATTTATTTTCAAGGGTAAATTGGATACTACTAAATTTTAAGTGTTGTATCGTTTATCCCACTGAACTTTTAATTTTGACAGTTATAATACTGAACTTTGATTTTCGTTTTAATTATACTATTAAATCGTTAACGATACGATGACGTGGTTGATGACTGCCTAAGTGACTTGTAACAACTTGAAAAATTGGATTTTTTTTAATTTAATTGTGTAAATTGGTAAAAATTTGAGGACTAAATTGAAAGTTTTTAAAATTTGTAATATGTTTTAGAGTTGAAAAAAATTCAGGGACTAAACCCTGAATTAACCCAAAAAATATCGACAGGCTTTCTCTTTAAAGGAAATGAATTGGTTTCTTCGTGAAAACACAGAAACCAATTCATAAAATCCCCTCCCATACGCCCAACTTCCAAGCTCGATTCCGACGCCGTCCGACTTCCGATCGTCGTTTTGAAAATACCATCGTGTTTGTTATCGAGTGAGGAACAATTCCCTTAAATTAATTGAAGCGAAACGCTGCCAAACGCCGGGAATTTCCAGTCAAAGTCTCGACGTTTTTTTAGCTCAATTGCCGAGAAAATCTTAAATTCATCGCCGATTGTTGCTCCGTTTACGACACCTCCCGCACCATCGTGTTCCTTGTGTCGTTCCGAATCCGCCGGTGCTATCCTCAGTCTCTGTCGACGGCAGCGCGTGGGGAGGTGAAGCGGTCAAAGTTTTTCGATTTGATGAAATCAAGCTCTCCGCCGTTCAAAATTTTGAATCGATCTTTGTAAGTATCTCGAAATCACTCAAAATAATTTTTAGAAAATTTTCCGTGAATTTTACGCAGCTAGAAGACACCTCACTGCGCGTTGGGAAGGTTGAAATGGCTGATTTAACCGGTTTTTAACCGGTTTGACCGGTTCCGACCCGACCCGTTGACCGTTCATCGATAACCGTTGATCGGGTGACATTTTGAGAATTAATTCGAAATAGGTGCTATTTTGGGAATTAATTCGAAAATGGTGCTATTTTGGGAATTAATTCGAAAATGGTGCTATTTTGGGAATTAATTCGAAATGGGTGCTATTTTGGGAATTTAATTCAAAAATGTACTATATTGGGAATTTAATTCAAAAATGTGTTATTTTAGGAATTTAATTCAAAAAAGGTGTTATTTTAGTAATTATTTTAAAAAGTGCGCAAAATAGTTGACAATTTGTTGACCTCCTTTGACCAGAATTTTGACCAACTTTGACCGGCCATTAAACAACCGTTAATCTTTTCCGAGAATACATATCCTGACATTTTTCGACATTCCGAATTTGTTTTTGGGGTCGGTTTCACAAAATTCAAACCCGAAAGTCTCTGAATCGTCAGTCAAACCCGTTGACTTTGATTTTGACCAAGAATTCAAATTTTCGGAAAGCCATACTTTATATTTTTCGACGTCTTGAATCTGATTCCGAAGTCCGTTTTGCCAAATTCTGACCCAAAATTCCCGAATCGAGCTTGTAAACCCAAAAGGCTTAATATTTTAATATTTTGATTATTTAATTGAGATTTGGTTAAGGAATTGATTCAATAAAAATATTTTATGAAGGTACTCGTGTTTCACCTGAGCAAGGATCAATTAGGTCCGGTGTTGTCCGTTCGTTAGATCAGCCTGAACCGCGTACTACGAGAATTACCCGTAGGTTTCTGTATATTATTTAAATAATATTTAGATTATTTATATTAGGTTTCCAATATGGATTTTTCCAATTCGTAAGATCTAGCGCTGCAGGAGAGCGTGATCGACAAAACCAGTAATAAGCTTCCCTATTTGATTTCTCAGACTGTTACAGGTGTGTTTCATGACAGTGTTATTTTACTGTTTTAAAAATATTGTTTGAATTGTTTTAGATTGGTGATAATTCATAATAATGTTATGACATGATACATGATACGTGATTCCTAAATATTGATTTCATGATATTTGATTTCTGTATTTCGGTATATGTTTTTTTAAACATGAATTATTCACCAATTTTACTTGAATACATACTTGTTTATTACTGACATTGGGGGGAAAATTGTTGGAGGAAGAATACTTGCAGGCTCCTCGGCTTTGTGCTCAGGGCCTTACTGGACGTGACGGGGTGTATGGTTCTGGGGAACCTACACATTTTGTTCGTGACGGATGGGGGTAGTGTTTATATTTTAAATAAAATAAACATGTTTGATGAAATGATTTTACTGAAATATTTTATTAAAATGTTTTTATACACTGTTTGAAGCACACTGGGCTTTTTAGCTCATTTTATAGTTTTTACCATTTTTCAGATAATAGCAGACCTTAAGCTATCAGATTTGGCATCAGGGGAGATCAACTACTTATTTTGTACGAACATATATCTTTACATGCTTTCCTTTGTATATGGTGACATGTATTTGCTATCGTTTTGGATATATTTGTATTATTAATATTTTGTTTTGTATTATATCTAATGTATTATAAGTTGTTTAAAAATAAATACCTCCGAATGGGATATGTGACCACTTAGGTTTGGGTTTAACTTACAGACGGGGTCTGGGGGGTTACATGACTGATGGCTGCCGAAGTGACTGATGGCTGTCGATGTAGACACCTCACCAAAAAGACATTATTTTTGATACGACTAGAAACGATTTAATGACCCAATGATATAATTAAAATGAATATCAAAATCCAGTGTTATCATTGACAAAACTGAAAGTACAATGTATAATTGATACAACGCCAAAAGTTAGAACTAAATTTAGAATTTATAAAAAATAATAATAATAATTTTATTATGTAATTGATTAATTTCAGTATATCATAATAAAATTTTGTTTATAGAATGATCTCTATTTCATTCATAATATTATAATTTAATATTAGATATTGTTTAACATATTTTAGTACAACTAATCGATTCAGATTAATATTAAGACCAATAAAGACTCTTCACGTCGAAATAAGTTAATCAAGGTTTATTGACAACAATTAAAATTATATATATAAATTTGAAATATTTTTAGTTCAATAAAAACAAAAATTTAAATTTTAAAAATGAAAATGAAATGATTTTCACCCTATTCAAAAAAATACACATTTAAATAAGTTCAAATAAATGTTTAAAAAAACTTTAAAATATAATAAAATGACGTGTGCTGACTTCATAATCATACTTATAAAATAAAAAAATTGAATTACATCATTTAGATTTATATTGAATCCCTAAATGACTCTTACCGTGTTTATTTAATTAATGTAATTAAAGAACCTCAGCCGGAGAATGGGATTTCTGTCTCCCCCACAAAGAAACAAAATGAGGGACCGAAGTGAAGATTAGGAGCATACTTTTGTTTGGCAACTAAGATTTGGGACATAACAAATCCTTGTGTGTTAACCTTGAAGCAATAGCAATATAAAAAAAAAATGAATGGACAATGTAGTCTAGTGTCAATGCTATGTATATAATTGATAACTACAATAAAGTTATCATTGAAATTAAAACAAAAAGCTGGTAATTTTACTTGTAACCCTCTCAGATTGATGCAGGTAACTCAATCCGATATGGAGTGTTACATTAGGGCCACCGGAGTGACCCACTGTAAAAATCTTTGAAAATTTAAAACTTTTATTAAAACATGTAACTCATAAAATGATTTATCAGTATGCAAAGATAAAACAAATTTTCAAACTCATATATATAAAACAAAATACAATTTCATGCCCCCTAATCACATGTACCATACTCTGCAAGTAACGTCGGAAGAACTCCCTTACTGATGTCGATAGATGCACTGGTACGATTCTTTTAACCTGAAAAGGTGAGTAACAGAGTGAACTTTGGAAAGCTCAATAATACAGAACTACCAGATGATGCTGAAGAATGTGCATATACAAATAGACATATATTTCCTTATTGATTCAGACATCTACAGATTTTTAGGATAAGCTGAGGTCCCACTGATATCTCATGTAGTAACAGACAATAAGATTTCAGTTCAGAGAAATATTTCGGATAATTGAGTTTAGGATATCAGAATAGGTTATCTAGTGTATTCCCGCAAAACCAATGAAAAGATACATATATTTTATTTTAAAACAGTAGAAGTTTAAAATATATTTTTATTCAAAAACCATATTAATCCCTCCAACTGAACACTCCATAATGTGTATGTTTCCCAGAACCATACACCCACCTACACACCAAGTAAGGACTTACCCTGAGCACAAAGCAGATGAACCTGCAGTAACGGTAACTTCCTCCAATAACACCCTCACATAAAACATTTATAAAAAACTATAGTAATTCCTCCAACCGAACACTCCATAATGTGTAGGTTCCCCAAAACCATACACCCACATGCACACCTAGTAAATTCCATAAACCAGGAACAATTCATATTTTCCAGTGAAAACAGGAAACCCGATAACACATTTCAGGTAACCATAATTCATAAACCAGTAAATTCTATGATTTCATAAATAATGAACAATTCATATTTTTCGATTAAAACCGTAATCGAATATCACATACCATGTTTCCATGATTTATAAACTAGTAAATCAATACTTTCGTTAAAACTCATTTCAAACATATAAAACCGTCATGTAGTACATGTGGAACACACTAGAGGATCAAAGTATTTATCAGATATTATTCAGAGATATTGGATAATCTTATTGGGCAGAGAAACATAGATCTTCAGTATACTGATAGAATATCGGAAGTTAGAATCACTATCGAAAGAGTTCATTAACTGGCAGATTCATTAGTTATTTAGAATGTGATTTGAACTAATAAGGAAGAAATGAAGGTTCAGAATATTTACAATCTGTGTCGATCTATCGGATTATCGAAATAACTCAAGCTGAATAACTCCCAGAACTAATGCATGTTGACTGGTCCATTCGTTGCCCTTCCATGTATTCACTCTTTAATACCAACAATTCTTGTACATAAATCATCTTCTGAGTCATCGCTGAATGGATCTTAAAAAGACGAACAAATATTCTAATGATCTTTATTTCATTTCCATGTTTCAACTATATCAGGAAATTCTGACGTACTTGATTTATGGTTCATAACCCATAAGGATGATACATCATGTAAGTTCAACTGAGTTTCCAGACTTATCCCAATCACTTACTTAATCCTCAATCATTGAGGTTACTTAGTTCATTTAGTAGTCAAGTCTATCTCGGTTATTCCAGAGTTTTTCAAAGTAATTTGGACGTTTCTGAATTTCGGATACATATTGTACTTCCATTTAGTTCAATTTGGTATTTGTGGTTGATTTGTCTAACGAATATCCATTTCTTAGTAGCAAATGCGCTCTAGAGTTGAGCTAAACTGAGTACTTCCAGAATTATCATCGATCCAAACTTGAGGAGACGAACAAGGATTCAAGTGGTATTTATAATATTCAGGAACTGACTTAGCATTAGCGTTGGTCAACTCACTTAAGCTGAGTTCCATAACTTTTAAGGGTAGTACAACACACATGTTTATTTAGATTCCTTAATTAATCCAAGACATTTACTTAGTCTAGTCCATAAGTGTATTTTGGTCATTTTGGTGCTTAATGTTAATTCCGTCATTTTAGAGTTTGAATATATCCAATAATTTCTGGGATTGGTGATATTATTGATTCATTTCCATTCCAGGGGTATTTTGGTCATTTTACAAATCCAAGGTTTTTCAATAATTTCCTTCCGTCCAATCTTATTATTTAATTCAAACTTATCATCTATTTTAGTCATTTCGAACAATTCTGATAAAAGAGTACCCTCAAAAAATTATTCTTCAGGTATTTACTCATAACTCGGAGATTTCCAGGTCAAGTGTCTTCTCAGATGTTACTAATGAATTATCAGGAATTTTCTATACACAAGTAGGATCTCAACAATTAAATCAGTAATTTATCAGTTTAAGTACAAATTCTCAGGTTATTTTCTCATTCAGAGTCAACTCGAACTATTTTTACCTCTCAATGGCATTTTTGTAATTCCATAATTTCACCTAACTGAAATATTCTCATCCAAGTACCTTTGGCATTTAACCTTTAAATGATATAAATTATAATTTACATATCCAGTACTGATTCATTTGTCACTTAATCCAGAACTTATAATTTAATTCCAATTGTCCTCAAATTTCTTATATTAGTCATCTGAGCCATATTCAGTTACCGAATTTTTACTGTATTCGGATCGAGTGTAGAAAATAATTAGCTACACAGATGAGACCAAACATTATCTTATTCATGCATTTACCAATATCAACATGTTCCATAAAGCATAAAGAGGTAGTAATGTATTACCTTGATTTTTGTGTCATACTGATCGACCATTTAAACTCCATTCGAACGCCCTCAATCTTGAAATCAATGTCCAATAATTTCTCAGATACATAACAACATAAATTTCATTAGAAACGGAGCTTAATTGCGAAAAATGGATCGAATCAGTTGGTAAATCAGTGAAAAATAGTTTACCGAGTTCGAATTTGGCAAAACGGACTTCGGAATCGGACTCATGACGTCGAAAAACATTAAAATTTGACTTTTCGAAAATTTTGACTTTTTGGCCAAATTCAAAGTCAACGGTCAACGAGTTAACTTGGTCAAAGTCAATGGTCAACGGGTTGACTCGGTCAAAGTTAATGAGTTTACCCAATGAGGCGACTCAGTCGAGTTAACTCAACGCGGGTTGACTCAGTCGGGTCAAGCGGGTCGGGCAGGCCCATTCCAAGCAGTCTACCAGGCAGTGGACTTTTCCCACTCTCAGGGGTGGTGCGTGGGGGCTCGTGCAGGGCCGTATAGGGTTGGAAAATTTTCACAAAAAATTCTAAAATTATTTTAAGGGATTTTGAGACACTTACCAAGCTCGGTTCACAATTTTGAATAGCGAAGAGCTCGATTTTAAAAAGTCGTAAACTAACTTCCTCACACCTCACACGCTGGCGACGACAGAGACAAGAAGGACATTGATGGACTCGGAACGATTCAAGGAACACGATGGTGCAGGAGGTGTCGAAAACGGAGCAACGATCATCGACGATTTTCACGGTGGTGGAGTTTAAAAACTTCGAAACTTTGAGTTGAATTTTACATCGAACGACGACGATTCACGACGAGAAGTTTGAGGGGTTTTGTTTACTGGTCGACAACGAACACGATGGTGGTTTCAGATCGACGAATGGTGGCCAGACGGTGGAGAAATTGGAGCTCAAAGGAGTTCACGTAGGAGAGGAAATGAGAAAGAGTTTAAAAGTCAATACATAAGAAAAATAGGTAAATTTATGATTGGATCCCTGAATTTCCTATACTTCCTAAAATGGTCTGTCAGCTTTGCGATTTTATATTTTAATATTTATTTTCTTTCAAAATACCATTTAAATTTAATATTTTATGATTTCTAAAATTTAACCCCTAAATTGGAGTGTGACGTTACCGCCACAAAGTAGGATACAAGGATGTCCTAACTTTTAAATTTTATATAATGTATTACTCGAATTTTTTTATTAAATTAAAGATTAAAATTTGTTGGTAAAGAAATTAATATATATATATATATATTCGGATGTAAATATGCAAATGTGATTTTATTTTTGGAGCAAAAGAGCGACCAACCAATATTATTAAAACAACTACATAAAGGAAAAGAACAAAAGCTGTTCAAGTGGAACGCGCCATTGCACAGAAACCAAAACTGAAATTAAAGATGCAATAAATAAATTAGAAAACAAAAGAAAACGAACGACCTAAACTAAGAAAACAAGCAGACGGCTAGTTCTTCACACTCGTTGCTATCGTTGCTAGAGAAGAGAAAAAGAGAGCACAAAGCAAGGAAAAAACAGAGGTAGAATCGATCATCACCACCACCCGCTCTCACGGGAAATGAAGCTAAGGGGGTCAATCCATCATCTATCTCCGGATGCCTTCATCTCCACCTGGTAAGGAGCCTCATCCACCCAAAATCTGTCATCCTCATCGAGATCTGAAGCCGCCAAGTGCGCAACCTCGTTTCCCTATCCTGGAGTGAACCGAATTGTACATGCATGGAAATTTTCAGCTCTCCTTTGAGCGTCCCAGATCAGTGCACTAAATTCTGATAAATCTTGAATCAAGGAGGAAAACTTCTCCATCACACTACTCGCGTTGCTTTTGTCGTGACCGGTTTTCGTTTGGGTACGAAATATTTATTTGGCTGGAAAAGTGATGTGAATAAATAATTTTTAAAATAATTTGGGAGTCGCCATCGACTCTTTGAATCAGGTAGGTCGAATACATAAA